CCAATACCAATGTCAAGGAGCTTTTCCCCTATCTTTTCTTCTAGAAGTTCTACAGTTTCAGGTCTTATATTTAAGGCACTAATTCATTTTGAGTTTTTTTTTTTGTGATTGGTACAATTTCATTTTTCCACTTGCAGTTATCCAGTTTTCCCAACAACATTTATTGAAGAGCATATCCTTTCCACATTGCATCTTTTTGGCTCCCTTGTCAAATATTAATTGACCATACATGAGTGGGTTCATTTCTAGGCTCTCAGTTCTATTCCATTCATCTACATATCTATTTTTATGCCACTACCAGTTTTTTCTATTTTGACCTACATTGATTTTTTAATCCCACAAGTAGACATTTTGTTTTTGTTTTATTATCTCTGTGTCTTTTTTTCTCCCTATCTTTTTTCTTCATTCTCTTCTTCCTTCCTCCCTTTCTCCCTCTCTCTTTTCCCTTCTTGCCTTCCTTCCTTCCCTCCCTCTTTCCTTCCCTCCTTTCTCCCTTCCTTCCTTCTCACCTCACTCAAGACTGAGAAAGTCATATATTCACCACTGACTCTTTTTGCAGAGCCCAGATTTTTTCCTTCCCTTACTGAGGTATCACCCTTAGGAGAACCCAACTGTGTACAGAGTGGTCTCTCAGCCAATCTCCAACCTTTGTTCAGACCCCAAACAGTCTTCTATCTTCCACTGGTAAAAAAAAACAAAACAAAACAACCCTTAGTCTTCAGCCACCAGAAACCAACAGATACTACCAGAGCAGAAGCTAAATACAGACCCATTCAACTCTGTGTAGTAACATTTTCTTGTTATTCTGGAATTTGAGAAATTCCAGTATCTTTCAGCCAGGACTCAACTATGTATTAAAGGAATGTGTGTGTGTGTGTGTGTGTGTGTGTGTGTGTGTGTAATTCATTGCACTAAAAAGGTTTCCTTTGATTATTTAGTCTACCATGCTGAAAATAGGAATTGATGGGAATCTCGTGTCCTTATGTTCAGTGTTGAAATAGACCATATCATATAATAGATGTTCAATTAAATGCATATAGATGTTGTAGACTTAGAAAATTCCCTCCACAATCCTAATATCCTCATGCTGTCAAGCATATATTTGAAACTAGTTTGAGTTACACAGTCTTTACATTTGGAGTATCTTTAGATACTACAAATACATTATCCATTTTTAGCCTTTATCTGGTTATCTTCTGCTAGCTCTTAGGTGATACACATTTTTTAATTACCTCTTCCAGATATACTTTCATGAGTCAACCTCATCACCATCGTCAATGTAAATTCGAGCAGATTTCTACCAGTGTGTTTTCATTACATCTGATATTTACCTTAGCATAGTCTTTTCACATGGTATTTAATATCTAAATATTACACTGTAAGCTGACCTACTGAGCTCAATTGCTGTGTCTTATTCATTTCATGTCCCTTGCACTTAGCATATTGTTCAGTTTTGTGGCAGATATCAGTGAATGGTTTTCCATAAATTAATGACTAACACTTTTTAGAATGTGCATTTTTGGTCCCAAATATGTTTTATTTTCAACAATTAGGCCTTTCTCTTTTGTATCCACTCCCTTACAAATACCTAACAATTCCTGTTTGTAGTCAGTAATTTAAATTGCATGGTCTTCTCAAACCAGTTTTTGTCAGAGTTAGATTGCTTCCTTCAGTCCAAGAAAAAGAACACTTTAGTACTCAAATATTTTAAGACTCAAAGCAATTTTTTGAAATAGGAAATATCATTAGTAAACTAAAGGCAGAATAACCATAATCATTAAGAGTTTTACTTTAACTATTAATTATAATTGCTGTTTTATACTATATTGAAGAATTTATGATAATTCTTTACCTCATTTTCATTCAAAGTTTGAATATTTAAAGAATCTTTAAGATGCCTTAATTTCTTTGCCACCTTATAGACATCATGACTCATATTCAAGAGTTCACTGCTTTGTTTATTAAATTTAGATCCCACTGAGATTGTTTGTCCATCCGAAACTTCCAACCAGTGAAGTATCACTTAAGCTAGAACTTAGCACTTTCCTCATTTTCACTTTACTTATCTAAGTATACTTTCAAATATATTTATTCAACATACAATATGTGTAGGGCACTATGTCAGTCACTTTATTATATACAAAGGTGAAATAAATTGACACCAAGATGAATCAGACATGACTCCTGCCTTCAGAGACCTCATCATCTAGAAAAGTAAGGAATAGACTATTATGCAAGTATATATATATATATATTTCTGTATTAACATGTAAATATTAGTAAAGACTAACAGTTATCAAGCTCTTACTATGTGCCAAATATAGTTTTACATTTTTACAAGTAATTCATTTTATCAAATCCAAGGTTATTGATTATGAGACACAGCATTACCATTATTATAGTACCACGAAGGGAAAAAACACCGCTTTAAAAATATAACAATCTAGATTGGGAGATAAATCCCAAATATCAAAGATGTTAATATGTGAAAAAGTGCAAGAGTTAAAATTGATGACAGGCATTAGAGGTAAAGACCCTGCCTGCCAATGCAGGAGACATGTGAGATGCACATTTGATCCCTAGATAAGGAAGATCACCTGGAGGAGGGCATTGCAACCAACTCCAGTGTTCTTGCCTGGAGAATCCCATGGACAGAAGAGCCTGGCATGCTACAGTCCAAAGGGTTGCAAAGAGTTGGCCATGACTGAAGTGACTTAGCACGCACACACACACAAAGTAACTCATGTAATTCTCTCAACAATCCTTCAAGTAAGGTAATGTTATTATCCCCATTTACAGATGAGGTAAATGATAGAGTTCAGACATGTCAGGTAATTTTCCCAAGGTCATACAGCTAGTAAGTAGGTAAGTGGGGATTGAATCCACATCAGTCTGATTCCAATGCCATGATCTTAATCACTGTACCATAACTGTCTTGGATCTCTAATGTAATAGGGTGCTCAAAAATTCCCAAATTTTTTTCTTCCTGATGTGGCTTCATTTAAATTGAAGAAGAATGTAGCCTCTATTAATTCTTGAGATAAGCTGAGAATTTAGTTGAGAAAATAAGACTTGAATTTACAGATTGAAAAAAAAAGAGTGTTTTGAAAATAATTTATCTGAATTTTGCATAAAATGGTTATAATATACTAAAGAGTAACTAATATATCTTATCAGTATCAACCAAGGTTGATAGGGTTGATTTAAATATATATATATATATACATATGTATATGTATATATATATATATATATATATGCAGCTATAACTGACCACATTGCATGTAGTACAATGGTCTTAATAGAATGATAGAGATTGGACAAAAATTTAAGCTAACTTTGGCCATGAGTGTAGACTTTTTTTTCCTATATATTAACGGAAAATTAGTAGCTAGTGGAAACTGTCCATTGAAGTTCTCTTTTTTAGATTTTATAAAAGTAAGTAGCAACATTTCTATGGAGAATATTGAAATTCTAGCACTACATGAGGTATTGCAAATGAGCTTTGTAAGGAGCCAAAAATGACAAACATATTTATCCTAAATATTAACTAACACAGTCTATTTTTAAAAAAAAAACTGAGTTAAGAAATAACAACCATGTACTATATAAATTATAAATTATGTGTGAGAACAAGCAATAGTTAAATGTACTGTTTGCCAATTGCATAGTCATGGATAACAGAGACTTCATTGGTGGATATTCAACAAAATAGAATTAGAAATGTTAAACAGAAAAGACCTCATTAAGATAATTCTTTCAGAAATGAATATGAAATTTCAGTCCCAGCTGTTCAAATCTTGAGTAGTCAAGGTGAGATGGACATAGCAAAAAAAAATCTAATTGCATTATTTCCAGAAACATGATACTTGGAAACACCTACATAAAAAATAACCAGATCACTATTATTTATTGGGTTTCCCTGGTAGTTCATATGATAAAGAATCTACCTGCAATGCGGGAGACTCAGGTTCAGTCCCTGGGTAAGGAAGATCCCCTGGAGAAGCGACTGGCTACCCTTTCCAGTATTCTTGCCTGGGGAATCCCTGGCAGGTTACAGTCCTGGCAGAGTCAGACATGACTGAGTGACTAACTTGAAACTTGAGAACTAACTAACTAACTAACAAGTGACTAAAACCACTACAATATTGTAAAGTAATTAGCCTCCAACTAATAAAAATAAATGGAAAAAAAATGTTGAGGAATCCCTGAAAACTACGTAAAAAAAAAAAAAAACAATAAAAATGACGATTTTTATCTTCATCCCAAACCCATCATATCAGTATTTCGTTGGGCAAAGCCCAAGGACCCACATTTTAACAAGCACCTCCACCTACCAGTGATTAACACCATGCTAGATTTGAGAACCATTGCATTACCACTTGACTCGTCCCCATCTAGTACTTTTGGATTAGTGGCAGAAATGAACCAATTACTAGTGGTCATTTTTCATTAAATATCAGAGATTAAATGTTTCATTTGCTAGATATTTATGAAGCAGTGTGGGGGTACACAAAAAGAAATGCGAGTGCATGTATTCAACTGTATTGCATTTCTTGCATGTCTGATAAACAGCTGTTTGACATGATTAAATGGAAGTAATTTGAGGTTGTGGTGAAAGATAACTGAGGTAATCCTGGTAGCTGTGGGAATAAAAAGGAAGTGGCTCCTCAAGAAATTATTTCACAGAAAAAAAAATCTGTTTGTTCACTGGCAAATTAAACATTAATGTTAAACCGAAGGGGGAAATGTTGAATACCTTGGGCGGTAAATCTGGGTAGCAGAGAATAGGGAGGGACTAACACGGGGATGGAATGTGAAAAAATTCTGAAAAGAATCTGGAGGATTCTGTGGAAGTGTATGGAAGAAAGTGAGACTTTCGTATTGGCCCTTTTACTACCACATTGGTAAAGATGGTGAATTGAATGTTGCTTCTAAGTTTATATATAAATGTATTTAACCAAATTAAGGTCTCATTAATTATTATTTTCTTTTCACAGCAATTGTTCAACTGTCAAGCTCTAAAAAAGCTAAGTATTCCTGACAATGACCTTTCAAATCTGCCAACCACTATCGCTAGTTTAGTAAACCTTAAAGAACTCGACATCAGTAAAAATGGTAAGATTTTCCGTTCATCTCTAAATAACTTGAATTTTTAACTGAAAATATGCTTTAATGTTTTGCTTAGAAAATGATATAACACCTTTTCCTTGATTTTGTTACAACTCTAACTTAATGTTTGTTGAAAAGCTAAATCCTGAATTATAAAACTGAAGACAGAAAACATCTCTCCCCTCCTCTTACTAATGTCCCTGACTCACTCAGGCCTTATTTCCCCTTGCATTCAGATATGTGATTTAACCTTTCTGAGATTATTTAATGACTTTACATTGTATATTTTCCTCGTTCTTTGAGTAAAACTTTTTCCAACATGTTTCAGATATCACCCACTCAACAAGGCCTACCCATTCACCCTTTTTAGGGTTGGAATGTTCAATCTCCCTGTCTCTGCTCCTTTTTCTCCCATAGCAGTGACCATCTTCTCAATGCATATAATTTGCTTATTTTTATGGTTTGTCTCCCCTCTCTTGCCCCAAAATATAAACCACATTATGTGACAGGAGGGATATTACTCTATTTTGGTGACTGATGTATCTCAGATGTTTAGAGAAATGCCTGGTGAATAATAAGTGATCAGTAGTATTTGTTATAATTTTGGCCAAACATTATATCTGGTGATTTTGTTGATATTCATGTTGATGGTGTTTTCTTCTTAATATTTTTGGGAGTCTCCTGTGTTCTCATATGTTCATTAAATCCTCATTTTCTTCCAAATGAATATGGCCCTCCATTTTATTAGAATAAAGCAAGGATCAGTCAAAAAAGGTTATGTCTAGGCATTATGAGGCTATAAAACAGGACTCCTCTGTCATTAAGCTGGTTGGTTAAACTTTGTGTGTGTATGTATGTATTGCTTTGTTAACTTAAGGCATTATTATTGGGACCAAAGAAATAGACATGAACAAAAAAGATCCTTGCCTTCATGAAATTTATTCTAGAACATGCATTAGACAAATAAATATTTAAAAGGAAAGATATACCCATTTGAATGCAGAGTTCCAAAGAATAGCAAGGAGAAATAAGAAAGCCTTCCTCAGTGATGAATGCAAAGAAATAGAGGAAATAGTTATGACCAACCTAGACAGCTTATTAAAAAGCAGAGACATTACTTTGCCAACAAAGATCTATCTAATCAAAGCTATGGTTTTTCCAGTGGTCATGTATGGACTTGAAAGTTGGACTATAAAGAAAGCTGAGTGCCAAAAAATTGTTGCTTTTGAACTGTGTTGTTGGAGAAGACTCTTGAGAGTCTTTTGGACTGCAAGGACATCCAACCAGTCCATCCTAAAGCAAGTCTGTCCTGAATATTCATTGGAAGGACTGATGCTGAAGCTGAAACTCCAATACTTTAGCCACTTGATGCAAAGAACTGACTCACTGGAAAAGACCCTGATGCTGGGAAAGATTGAAGGCAGTAGGAGAGGGGGACAACAGAGGATGAAAGGGTTGGATGGCATCACTGACTCAATGGACATGAGTTTGAGTAAACTCCAGGAGCTGGTGTTGGACACGGAGACTTGACTTGCTGCAGTCCATGGAGTTGCAAAGAGTCAGACACGACTGAGCATCTAAACTGAACTGAACTGAAATAATTATCGGTGATTAAGTAAAAATTGAGTTAAAGATACATTGGAAGTGAAGGACATGCGTACTAGTAGGACATAATCCAGTCAGTGTAGTTAGATAAAGTTATCCTAAAAAATAATAACTAAATCCATCTATGATGAATAAGAGTTATTTTCCAGTGGGTATTAAGTTTCATTTGTGCTGGGTGAATAACTTCTAGAGATTCACCATCCAAAATCGTGCCCATAGTTAAAATTACAGTATTGTGCACTTCAGGATAACTGGTGTTATCCCAATGTCCTTCCTGATTTGATTTTCTTAATAGTCTTTATGAGTAACTGACATAGTGTATTTTAACTTGTTTATGTATTATCTGTGCTGTGCTTAATCACTCAGTAGTGTCCAATTTTTTACCACCCTATGGATTATAGCCTGCTATGCTCCTTTCTCCATGGGGATTTTCCAGGCAAGAATACTGGAGTGGGTTGGTTGCCATGCCCTCCTCCAGGGGATCTTCCAAACCCAGGGATTGAACCCAGTTCTCCCGCATTGCAGGTGGATTCTTTACTGTCTGAGCCACAGGGAAGGCCAAGAATACTGGAGTGGGTAGCCTATCCCTTCTTCAGCAGATCTTCCTGACCAAGGAATTGAACTGGGGTCTCCTGCATTGCAGTTGGATTCTTTACCAGTTGAGCTACCAGGGAAGCCTTAAATATTTTTTAGATTCCCCTAACTAAAAAGTCTAGTCAAGGCTATGGTTTTTCCAGTGGTCATGTATGGATGTGAGAGTTGGACTGTGAAGGAAGCTGAGCGCCGAAAAAATGATGCTTTTGAACTGTGGTGTTGGAGAAGACTCTTGAGAGTCCCTTGGACTGCAAGGAGATCCAACCAGTCCATCCTAAAGGAGATCAGTCCTGGGTGTTCTTTGGAAGGACTGATGCTGAGGCTGAAACTCCAATACTTCGGCCACCTCCTGTGAAGAGTTGATTCATTGGAAAAGACCCTGATGCTGGGAGGGATTGGGGGCAGGAGGAGAAGGGGATGACAGAGGATGAGATGGCTGGATGGTACCGACTCGATGGACATGAGTTTGAGTAAACTCCAGGAGTTTGTGATGGACAGGGAGGCCTGGCGTGCTGCGATTCATGGGGTCGCAAAGAGTCGGACATGACTGAGTGACTGAACTGAACTGAACTGAGCTAAAAAGTTCAGTGATGTTCTAACTTTTTATCATTGTCTTGGTCACTGATACATCTCTATTGCATAAAACAATGTATGTCACATTGTAGGAGTTCAGTACAATTTATTGGATGAATTCATGAATGAATGATCCTTCTGGACATGGAACACTTGTTGAAATATACCAGTTTAAGTGACTAACAGTCTTCAAGACTATGAGAGTCATAGAAAAGTTTACATTCTCACTGGGGAGAAAATACTAACAAAAATAATCAAGGAATATTGTAAAGCATTATATTGGGTTGGCCAAATTTTATTTGGGATTTTCTGTAAGAGGATATGGAACAATCTGAAGCAATTTTTTGACGAGCTCAATACAGTGAAGTGATTAATTATATGGCACGTGTGTGCGAGTTCCGAGTTTCCCACATGGCACTAGTGGTAAAGAACTTGTCTGCCAATTCAGGCAACAAAAGAGACGTGGGTTCGAACCCTGGATGGGAAAGATCCCCTGGAAGAGTGAATGGTAACCCACTCCAGTATTCTTGCTTGGAGAATCCCAGGAACAGAGGAGCCTGGTACAGTCCATAGAGTCACAAAGAGTCAGACACATCTGAGGTGAAGTTGCTTCAGTTATGTCCAACTCTTTGTTACCCTATGGACTATAGCCCTGACAAACTCCTCTGTCCCTGGGATTCTCCAGACAAGAATACTGGAGTGGATTTTCATACCTACCTCCTTCGGGGTATCTTCCCAACCCAGAAATCTAGCCCACCTCTCTGACACCGCAGGAAGATTCTTTACTGCTGAAGGCCACCCAGGAAGCCCTAACTATATGGCACAAATTACAATTGTAAATTCTTAGAGAATAAGAAGATTAATAGAGACTGATTTATGATTAGGGAAGAGTTAAGATAAAGAATATAGCTTGAGGAATTCCTTGAAGCACAGTAACATCTGAATAAAGGAGAGCATTTCACTTGAAGTAAACAATGGAGTACAAATGAAGGAACACTTATTTCTATACCAACTTGACTTACCACTTAGAGGGTTTTCAGGAAGACAGTCCTGAAAGGATCATTTGCCAACTTCGTGAACAGTGATTAGCTTTAGGCCAATTGAAAGATGATGTGAGGTCTACCTTTATTCTTTTGAAAATAGACTTATAGCTACACGTTTTTATGGATTGATATTTCTGTACTTTACTAGTGATACTGTTTATAGACATTCACACCTGAAATTCTGTTTTCAAATTACAATTTCTGAGAAATATCTTACAACCAAATATAACAATCCCTTGGTCTTCAGGCAGGTGAGGTTTGACTAGATGGTTCAAATAAATAAAAATCTATCTTATTCATAAAGAGAATCAGAAGAAAATTCATTACCAAATACAGACATAAAGCTTCTAAGAAATAACGACATTTTTATGAGCCCTATAATCATCTCCTAGCAGTTTTCTTTCATCATGAAATTTTTGTTGCCAGGATGTAAACTGCAAGTTATGGTTCTACTCAGAAATAAGTCCGTGAACATAATTAGAAATCCTAGTAAGTAGAATTTAGGAACTTTTAGCTATGCTTATGATGGTTATATTGTGGAAATATTTATGCAAAAAGCCAAGCAAAGCATGGCAAATCATTCTGCAAGGTTAGTATAGTACAAAAGATTTGATGAGCATGATGATATACCAGCCATTGCTGGAAGAGACACAAATAGTAAAAGATTTCAACACATCAATCCTTTCACAAAATTATACCTAAAACCTGTCATTGAGTTTTGTGGCAGAGACCTAGACAGTTACTTAAGGAGCATAATATATCCTTTGGGAATCTCTCAAGTGAAAAAAGAGCAGAGAGCAGAAAATAACTGCAGTGTCAGCATCACAGTTTGACAAGGTTGGAATTGTCCTGGTGGAAAAGAGTCAAGACATGAGAGAATATAATCAGTATTGGTATTGAGGGACTGAAAATGAATGTTTATTTTGAGCCAAGGATTCATTCAAATGCTACTCACTTTTGATAAATATTTGCCTTAATTGTGTTGGAATTTGATGAGTGACCCCTTAAGAGGAAATTATTTCACTTGGAGGTGAAAGTGAAATCTGATCTTCATTGTCCCTGGGCCTCCAATCTTTACTTTTTGGGTCTAATTCTTCCACCATTACCCAAATGCACTATTTTTCTTTCCACAATTTAAAAACATTATTTTATATTAAAACCTTTAGATAGGTGAACTGTTGTGCAGAGAAA